TTAGCAGCATTAATAAACAAATATGGCTGGAAGAACAAACCATATCTCAATAATAACCCTAAATGTTAATGACTTTTCTTTTTTAGTCTGCTGATATGACAAATTAAGCTAATTTATTTTCAAGCATTGAATCAGTCTTATATAACCTGGAAAAAATTCCACTTGGTCAGCACAGCAATCTTATTATACAGCACTGTATTTGATTTGATAATATTTAGTGCACATTTTTTCATCTGTGTTCTTGAATGAATGATATCAGCCTATAGTTCTCTTGTGTTCTTTGACTGGTTTCAGTAGTAGGGTAATGATGGGCCCATGGGATGGACTAGGAGATACTCCCCCTGTTTCTGTCTTCTGGAAGAGGTTTTAGAAAGCTGGTGTTTTCATCCTTTAAATTTTCCATAGAATTCACCAGTCCATTCATCTGGGTCTGATGAATGTACTTCTGCTTTAGAAGGTTATTAGTTATTGATTTGACATAATTTTTAGACATGGGTCTATTAACATTGTCTAATTCTTCTAGTGCAAGTTTTGGCCAATTGTGTCTTTCAGGCTAAGGTCTGTTTCTTTTAGGTTAGCAAGTTTGTGAGCTCTGTGGAGATTTTCACAGCATGCCTTTATCATCCTTTTAATGTCTGTGGGGTCTGTGGTATTGTTCTCTCTTTCATTTCTCATATTAACACAGGTGGTCCTTGGCTTAGCATGGTCTGATTTATGATTTTCTGACTTGATGGTGATGCAAAAGCAGTTTGCATTCAGTAGAGACGGAATTTTGCATTTAGATATTTTCCTTGGAAAGCAACGTGCAGTGCGATGCTCCTTTGCCATGGTGCAGGGACATCGAGCCACAGCTCCCCTCAGCCATGTGGTCACCAGGAGTCATTTATCGCATACGTGTTCTGAATCTTATCTCTAGAAAGAGCACAGGGTGGAGAATCGTCAGACAGATAATTCAGGTGATACATGTAAACTGCTAATGGCAACGCTAAGTGAACAACTGACAGCCTACAGGGTGCTGTGTCGCTGAACTCTGATGTTTGTAGGTTAGGGATAGTCATGCATTTTTACTTATAATGGGTTTATCAGGACATCATAAGTTGAGAACCATCTTTTTTCTTCTTTTTTCTCAGTTTAATTCTAGCCCTTTTATTTTTCAATTTTTTTTATCTTTTCAAAGAACCAGAATGTGGTTAGTCTGATAATTATTCATTCATCCACTTATTTATTTATTTAATCTTTGGTGGTGTTGGTAGTCAACCCCAGGGTCTCCTTATTCTAGGCAGGCACTCTACCACCAAGCTACATCCCCAGAATGTTGGTGTTTTTTTTTTTTTCTATTAGTTTATAATTTTTAAATTCCATGGATTTCTGTTTTAATTTCATTTCTTTCCTTCTGTTTACTTTGGATTCAATTTGCTTTTTGTCCCCCTGGTTTCCTGAGGTGGAAACTAGTATTGTTAAATATCAACATTCCAGGGAATAATAGGGAAATTCCTTTGGACCTTGGAGTGTCCATGTCACTCTTGTGAGGGTGAAACAAGTGTCAGATCTCTTCCAAGCACAGGTGTGCATGCGCGCACGCGTGCACACACACACACACACACACACACACACACACACACACACCATGAGATAGGTGCTGTGGCCTGGGCTCTCCTAGAGCGTATGTTTCTGAACATTTTTGCACTCAAAACAAGACAAAAATAACTGAGTTTAAAAAACTGCAGGTAGCAGAATGGACGTCCACACTGACCGTCCTGGTGGAGCTTCTGAGTGGCGCCCCCTGGAGGAGCTCTGGGTTGGTGAGAGGTAGCTTCCTCTGGGCTCCGTGTCTGGCGTGGGCCCAGCCTGGCTGGGATTCCCACCCCGTCTGTCCCTCACGCCCAGCCCAGGAGCCCTGCACTGGCTTCTGAAGCGGCCCTCCTGGTTTGTGGGCGCATCGAACCATGATGAAATCTTTACCTCACAGAACTCAACTCTGCTATTTTTTTTTTTGAAGTCTGTATTTTGACTTTTCTACGTCAGTTTCCAAAGCATCACTCTTCATGCCAAAGGCCCTTGAAATAGAATGTCAATGGGTTCTCTTTGCCAACCTAAGTACATTCCTGTGACACCGATTGAGGCAAATATTAAGAGTTCATTTATTATATACTTGTTCTAGATTCTACTAATCACTGGGAAAAGGGCAGGCTGGAGAATTGTCAGGCAGATAATTCAGGTGAGGTCTATAAATTGCTTATGGAGGTGAACCACAAGCAGCTCCTAGTTTAGGTCATAATTCCGCATCAAGAACAGGCCAGCGTGAGGGCAGGGACAAGGGATGTTTGCCTGTATCCAAAGGGTGAGGGAGGCCTCAGAAACCAATCATCAGAGTGAATGTCATTTCAACAGAGTATTTTGAAAATAAAAATCGAAGCAAAAACTCTATTGACAAGCTAAATATCGAACACTTAGGATATTACACTGCCATGCCAAGCCACCAAATCTGAGGCCAAAGGAAAAATGTACGTCCCTATACAAATGTTTTTGCATATTTCTGTAAAGGTTGTATTTTAAGAACACTGAAGCATTTGAAAAATATTAGAGCATTGAAAAGCAGATACTTTAAAACTTATTTTGATCTAAATATTTTATTTACACCAAGACCAGAATTGACAACAATTTTATGTTCCCCATTTTAAAGGAAGTAAATCCGTCAATGATCTCTCTTAAATACTTTGGGTAAACTATTTAAACTGTACACAAAAGCCAGCCTAAAGGAGCACACATCTTTTTCTTTCGCCCGAGGCTGCTCTGTGCCGGGGCAGCTGCACACACAGTCAGCACCTCCTGCTCTTCAGGGGTGGCCAGAACTTGGAACCTAGCCTAGAGATTTGGCTGTAGGATCCATTCAATCAGGCAAAACAACATCTGAGCAGGTTTTCCTTTCACACTTCCTATTTTTCAAAGAATGGTCTCTGTGCTTAGTTTAGCTTGGCATTAGAGAGTGTATCTCATCAGAACAGTCAAAAACAGGATCCCCGAGGTTCAGAATAGATTTCTTCCTATCAAATTCATTTAAGTGTGAGTGTGTGTGATTTTTTTTGGGGGGGTGGGGGGTTAATTTCAAGTTTATTGTGAACAGAATTACTAGGAATTTTGGACAGAAGTGACGGTGAGACTCAGCTGGGAGGAAGCATATGAAACCACAGATCTATGCCGAGCCTAGTTCTGGAAGTGGCTCCTGATGGACCCAGCATGCTGTTTCAACTGTTCCTATCCCCCATCTAAAAATTTTGCAGTTCTTCTAAAAATGAAAGTAAAAGCGCCACAAATATACTTGAGTTCCAAATTAGTTTTAAGTTAGCCTGAGAAGATAATTTTAGCCACATTTAGTTTGAAGTAAAAGGTTAAATAAAACATGTGCCCGGATTTTTATGTCAGGGGCATGAAAACTTGTGAGCAAACTTTCAATTCCATTTTGACTCAGGGTTGCATTAATTAAGTAGGGGTTTGAGAAAAATAAAATCTAGAGTTTCCTTAGAACAAATACAGAAGATCCAATACTTCACTGGCCAATGGAGCTTTTTGAAAATTATTCAAATTGAGTTCGGTGGGAGGGTTAGTTTGTTAACTAGCTTGGAGGTGGAGACATCACTGGAAAGACGGTCTGCGAGGTGGTGGGAGAGAAGACACTGGGGCTTCTCCAAGTGCCATGTGCAGGTGAACAGGGGCAGGACTCCACCCACCAGGTGTCTGGGAAAGCTTGGCCGGGAGGGCCAGGGGGGCCACTGAGTTCTGGAGCCTGGAGGCTGAAGGGGAAGGTCAGGGAGAAGAGTGTGCTGCAGGCAGGAGAAAGTCAGGGGCAAAGGCAGGCAGGGAGCTCGGGAAGCTCAGAGCTTCTTAGATCTGAAGATAGGGCCAGGCTTTTAAAAGAGATGTGACGGGGAGGAAGCAGCATCGACGGAAGTAGTGAACTGGGGTAAGCATTCTGCCCAGGCTGAGTGGCACTCTGTGGGAGCAACTGAGCTGCAGAGGTGGGAAGAGCAGCTGCAGTCCTTTCAAAATACCCAGGAGCCGGCCGACTAGGAACAGGCAAGTGCGAGGAGGCTAGCTCTCTAGCAAAGAGCATCAGAAGCTTCAAGAACTAGATGCAGATTCACATCCATTTGAAGGGGGGAGAAAGTGCCCTGGGGTGGCCACCATGCCTGGTACTTGGAGCCAGGACGTACAGAATATTTTTAATGAAGAGGGCTCTTGAGCTCTCAGTTCCAAATGATCATTCCTTAAAACCTGACGCAATTAATCATTCCCTTCAAAATGTTTGCCTTTGCATAGCATGAAACAGACTACTGAGGTCCTGCTGCATCTGGCACCTGCTGAAGTTGCCAGCCTCAAGGAAGGAATCAATTTTTTTCGAAATAAGAGCACTGGCAAAGACTACATCTTATACAAGGATCAGAACCACCTGAAGGCATGCAAGAACCTGTGCAAGCACCAAGGAGGCCTGTTCATCAAAGATATCGAGGACCTGGACGGCAGGTACCAAGGGCCCTTTCCTTTCTCACGGGCAGCCTGCTTGCAATTGGATTTGTCAGGAAATGTCACCTACAAATTCTAAATGCACCAATCGGCAGACTGCTTCCCCTGGTACATTTTTACTCTCGCTCCTACTTCGGACATCTCTCTGAACTCAAAAGTATGCTTCCTTTCATTTTTCTTTCTCTTTCTAAGCACTCTAATTTAAAATTCTCGCTAGCTTGAGAAGCAGTAAAACTCCTAGGTTGTATGAGTTTCTTTGGGAGCATTTGGGGTAATGGGAGGGTACACGTTTACCTGGTGTTGTCTTCAAAGACTCCAGCCTCCTCCCCGTCCTCGTTCCCCTCCCTGGAAGTGTGCTATGTGGGGACGGTTGGGGGCACTTTTCCAAACCCCATAGGAAGGCAGATACCGTCTTCCTCCCTGGCAGCCTGGTTATGATTACAGATGAAAAATGGCAGAGCCCCAGCCCTCCCTTCCCTGGTAGTTTCTTGGAAGAACAAATGCTTTGGCCAGGGCATCCCCTGTATTATTAGGTCTTCAGAGGCAAACCACAGAGCCCACTGGCTTCTGGGGCTCCTTGGAGCTGGCAGATTGGCAGGTGAAGTCCCAAGACATCCTGTTAAATCTGCATTTCATAAAACAATGAATGTCTAGTATAAATATGTCCACGGTAACGCGCAGGACACATTTGCTGGCAGGTCTACCCCGGAAGACCCTGAGGCAATTTGCTGACAGCTGGACTGATCTCTGGCCCTCTTCCCTGTGTATTCGGGTCAGGGGGCCTTAAACATAGCTGTCTCTGGTCAACACGGGCAGCACTCAGGATTGCTGAGGTCTCCTCTTCTGCCCTGGGGAGTTTTGAAACTGGATTTCCTTTCTCCTCCCCTTAGCGAGCCGTTTCACACAGTGCCAGTTAGCTAACCATTTAAGGAGTTGTCAAAACTTGGTGGTTAACAGGTGATCTCTCCTCCCCAACTGCCTGCACCAGACTCCCCTACCCACAGTTTGGCAATGACCTTGAACGTGTGTCACAGCCTTTCTGGGCCTCGGTCTACTCACTCCTAAGGCGAAGATGAAAGTGGTCCTGACTTTGCTAGATCTCCGTACATGATACAAATATAAAGAAGCAGTGAAAAGAATATTTGGTGGCCCCTGATGTGGCTGCATAAACGTTCATCACTGTGTCATTGCCCTGACCCCTGACCCTTGTGTAGCTGAGGCAGGCTATTTATGGAACACAGCTTTCCTCTGCCCGAAGCCTGCTCATCTAGACACAGGGCTGCTTTTCCACTCTGGCCTTTCTCCTTCGTCCAAAGTCTTGGGTGAGTGGGTTCCCCCGTCCTTGGTTCTCCTGCCCTGGAGGAAGAGGTATGTACCGCAGCTGGTCCTTCAGGACGCTGGCCTGCCCCAGCCTCCCAGCCACACTGCAGACCCTGTCCCTTCTCCCGGGCTTCTCTCTGCAGCTGTCCACCTGAAGACACGGCCTTTCCAGGGTGCAGTCTGCAACAGTAACCAGCCTTCTTGTTCGGTCCTTTCTTCCACTGTCAGTCTTCTTCTTGTCGCATGACCACGATCAGCAAATCTGATAAGCTGTGCTTCTCCTTGTTTAAGTCTGAGTCTCGGCACCCTGTCCTGTGTGCGCAGCTGCTGTCCTCTCCAGGGGCCCCTGCTTCTGCCAGCCTCCCTCCCAGGGTCCAGCATGCAGGTAGCTGCAGGTGGACTGTTCTGTCTTAATTTAGAAAGGTCACTGGCTGCTCATCACTGTGAAAAGAGGTGGCGAAGTAACCAGTCATAAACTGAAGTGTGGAATATGCTTTTTCCTTAGCAAAAAAGAATGTTAAAGTTTCTGGACAGAATGAAGATTGAAAGGTCATGTGACTTGCTTATATGTTAAAATACATGTTTTTCATTAAAAAAAATCTGATATTTCTGGTTTAAGGTATATTTTTTGGTTAAAAAAGTTCTCCAATTCTTATAGAAAACAAACAAACAATTTAAGGCTTCATTGGAAACACTACTAAAATAAAGAGAAGAAATGAAACTGTCTATAACCACCTTCAACCACACCCCTTTAGCTCTGCTAAGCTTCTTTTGCTGGGGAAAATATAATGTACATGGGGTGGTAGCCCTGCTGGGTAACAGTTTGAGTCTCCTAATAAAGTGGGGTTGAAACAGCAACTAAAGAGACAATAAGTTCAAATTACAGACAAACAACACATTCTAGTGTTCTTGCAGATGGCGGTTGAATACCGAGGTGGCTGGTCCTGGTTTCACACTGCTTTGTTCCCAGGCAATGTCATTCTCTTAACTCTCCTGAACAGAAGAGGCTCCTTTGTTTTGGAGACTACTTGATTCTGTTGTCTTATTGATATCTTAACGCATGTCAGTTTTTTTTTTAACTGTTTTTTATTTTTATTTCTTTTTTGGTTGTGAGAGTCTTATTTTATTTTTTTTATTGTTGGTTGTTCAAAACATTACATAGTTCTTGATATATCATATTTCACACTTTGATTCAAGTGGGTTATGAACTCCCATTTTTACCCCGTATACAGATTGCAGAATCATATCAGTTACACTTCCATTGATTTACATATTGCCATACTCATGTCTGTTGTATTCTGCTGCCTTTCCTAGCATGTCAGGTTTTGACATGCAGTTTGTCTTCATTCTTTTAATCACCTTTTGATGATTAGAGTGTATTTCCTTGGATATTTCAGGATCAGCCATGAATAGTTTTTCTTTCGTGAATTTTGTATTCACCCAACATGATCAAATAGTGCATCTAAATCTAATCAAAATTAATTTTTATTTTTACTTTTTCATTAGCCTAAGCATGATTTTGTTTTTCACCCAGGTCTGTTAAATGCACAAAGCACAACTGGAAGTTAGATGTGAGCACCATGAAGTATACTAACCCTCCAGGGAGCTTCTGCCAAGATGAGCTGGGTAAATAGCATCCGTGTCCACTCATGTCTTCTGCTACTGTCCCTACTGGGGTCCTTCATGTTGACCTATCTCTAAGCTCATCTGAAGCTTTGGGTAATTCTGGTTTTAAACTGTTAGAGTTCTCTTTAAATAACCAACATTGAAAACATGTTGGCTATTTCTCCAAACTAGCCCTTCATTCATTCATTGGTTTGGTAAATAGTCGTTGAGATTTTAACACATAAATATTGTGCTAGATACAGAAAGCTACAAAGACGGATAAGATAGAGTCAATGTGAATGAGACAATAATTACCTGCCGTGGTTGGCTAAGCCAAGCCCGAAAGAGCTAAGAACAAGGATGTCCTGGGAGGTCTCTCAACCTCTGAGATACAGTGTCCTGTGATAGTAGGTTTGAAATCTTACCTGTGAAGAGACAAAAGATAAACTGTGTTGTGTGTAGGTCTTCTCAACAATTTGATCCAAGTTCACAACTTGAGGGGAAGTGAAGGGCACGAAACTAGCTGGTTCCTCGTGGCACAGACAGGAACTGAGTCCCCGAGATCTCAGCGCGGGGTCCCCTTCACCCTCCTCCCTCCTGCCTGGCAAGGACTGAACAAGAAGCTCAGTCACAGGGACGAATTGCCTCTCTTCTTCCGAAGGACGAAGTCAGGACAGGTTTATTTTGCAGATCACAATTGCTTTATTACAATTCTGGACAGTATCCCACCACTTGTGCAGGTGGTATTTATTGCCAGAAGAAAAAAGGGAACCACCTGCAGGAGCCACGAGGTTGGCTACAGAATGCATCTTTTGAGGTTTTCGGCCTCTGATTGGCTAGAGGCTCGCCTACTGCGACTGGCTGAGCCTCGGTTGCTAGGTCACTAGCCCTGCATCCACTCCCGCTTCTGCGACCCTTTCGACAGCTGGACCCTGTGACAGGTGTCCACACTCGCTGTCTGCTCCTTCGCCCCGTTTGCTTGAGCTTGTCCCTTCTACTCCACTAACACGGCTGCTGTCAGGTGGCCATTGCGCTCCTGCGGCCACCCCGGGGTCATTTGCCGGTCCGTGCGGCACAGGGGTTCACTTTCCCCTTGGTGTGCCTCCTCTTGGCGTTTGGGGGGACAAAGTCTCTGTATGCGTTTCCTATTTGCAACTACCACAAGCTGTCACTGGGGCTTAGAACTGTGCAGGGGCATTAGTGTTCATTGTGCATCTCCGGAGTCCAGCAGGGGTCTCACCGCAGGGTCAGCAAGGCTGCGTTCCTTTCCGGAAACTCTAGGCCACCAGCATTTCCTGGCTGTCCAAGCTCCCTGTCTCCGTTTTCGAAGCCAGCCACATTGCGCGCTCCATGCTCTACCATGACATCCCCCTGTTCTTCTGCCGGTCCTCCCACTTAGGGTGGCCACTAATGATTACTTGGGGGCTCAGCCAGAGAATCTAGGGTAACTGCCTTACTCGAAAGCCAGCTGACTGGCGACCACAACAAGGTCTGCATCAGTTCCACTCCAAGGTGCCACCTAACTTGCTCTGTCCCCGGGATCAGAGCTCGGAGCTCACTCTGCCTCCTGCAGTCCTGTTCTCAGGCTCTGCTGGACTTGGAACATTGGGTGCCCTGGAACTCTCTCCTCAGTCCTCTTTATCCAACTTCTTACAAATGTAAGTGATCACATCTACATTCACAGCCCCAACACCGTCTTTACTCAGATGCTTACCTGAAAGTTTGCCCTGAGCTGGGTGCAGTGACACATGTCTGGAACCCTAGCAACTTGGGAGGCTGAGGTAGGAGGATCACAAGTTGGAAACCAGCCTCAGAAATTTAGTGAGACCATCAGCAACTTGCCAAGACTCTGTCTCAAAATGAAAATTAAAAGGGCTGGAGACGTGGTTCAGTGGTAAAGTGCCCCAGGTTCAATCCCCACCACCAAAAACAGAAAACAAAACAAACAAACAACAACAACAACAAAAAGTTCACCTCTGGCTTTCACCTCGTCCCTGAGCTCGATTCTGCCCTCTGCCATCCAACTACTTATTTAACGTATCTTGCATTTCTAACAGGTTTGAAGTGCACAACCCAAACTGAACACCTCATGCACAACTCAACCTGTCCTCAACACTGCCCATCCAGCCTTCCCCATCTCTAAATGCACAACACCTGCCACTTACACGAAGCCTGGGAGTCATCCTGAGTCTTCTCTCCTTACAGCCCAGATCCACTCACTAATCAAATGATGCTGGCTGTCTGCAGACGCCCAGGTCCACCAGCCTCTCCTCGTCACCATCTTCACCCTCCTCTTAGTGCTAACCTTTGGCCTGAATGTCTGCCTTCCTGCATCTAGGTCCGCTGTCTCCCTCTGTTTGTTATCACCCTGTCTAATCTTTGAAAGGTCCAAATCCATTCACATGGCTTTCCAACTCCAAACCCTCCAGGGGTTCCTAGCACACCTAGGCCTGCGCCTTCCTTCTGGCTCACCAGCCCACATCCCAGAGCGCATCTCAAGGCGATCCTCAGTGCACGGCCCCGATGCAGCTCCAGGACTGTTCCTCCACAGCAGATCTACTTACAGAAGAGAAAAATCGAATACAAATTAATCACGAGAGTTCTGATAGATACTAAAGTGACACAATTGAAGAAACTAAAACAATAAGACATATTTTTGATACCTCAAACAAAAATCGGGTTATGAATAATATATATAGTATATCTCATTTCTTTTTTTTGTGTGTGTGTGTAGGGGTACCAGGGATTAAACTTTAGGGCACTTGACCACTGAGCCACATCCCCAGCCCTGTTTTGCATTTTATTTAGAGATAAGGTCTCGCTGAGTTGCTTAGTGCCTCACTTTTGCTGAGGCTGGCTTTGAACTCACGATCCTCCTGCCTCAGCCTCCTGAGCAGCTGGAGTTACAAGTGTGCCCAGCAATATATCCCATTTCTGAGAAAGATCTATGTGCACAAACACGCATGGGTGACAGAAGGCAGGCTGAGTGGTGGTCACCTGCGGCAGTGGCTGAGCAGGGTCCTGGGCTCTGGACTGTTCTTCAATTATTCCATCTTTACATTTTTTTCGGGCTCACATTATTATGACCATGCTATAGGAGATGGTACCCAGGGCCGTTTCCACCCACATGTCTCTGTGAGACCATCTCTAAAGGAAAGGGCCTGTAAAGGGATGAAAGGACCTGGGCATCCTCCCAGTCCCCCTAGGAGCAGAGAGCCACTGCTGAGGGGCACCTCCTGCACCCCGAGGAGACAGAGTGCTCTTCTGGAGACAGTTGCTATTTGCTTTGGCTACAAGTTCATCCTCCCTCCGCCTGTCAAAAGGGACACCTGAACACCACCTGTTTTCCCCAGTGAACGTCGCCCAGGTCTGTTGAGCAGGCCTGGAAAGCCCGCAGACAAGTCTCGTTACTAGGAACTGGGTATGGTGCTGTGTAAATATTATTAAATTTATCTGGCATAAACTGACAAGATACGTAGGTTGAGGCATGAATACCATTAGTTTGCAGAAGTGAAATGAGCAGATTATGAACATGTTACTTGGAAATCTAGAGCTGTTTAGGTGCTTTTCTGGAAACCGCGAGATCTATTAGACAAGACCTCTAAGAGCCACTGTAGTGCTGTGGTGGGGGGACAGTGAAGGGCTTGCCACACTGCCTTCCAGTCCCAGCTCCGTGGTGTTGCTAGGTGAGTTACTCAACCTTTATGTGTTTCAGTTTCCAGAAATGCAAAGTGGAAATGATACTGTTAGTTCCCATCGTAAGAATTTTAAAATTAGCACTTGTTAAATTCTCAGTACTTGATGCACAGAGCATGATGATTTATCTGGGTGTGTATGTCTCAAGTAACCTTTGTGTGTCCTGGGGAGAGGAAGGAGGGATTTCCCTACCTGCATGAAGTCGGCTCAGCTGGAAAAGCCATGAAGGCTGGGAGCCGAGGGAGGGGGCCGGTGCTCATGGCTATGGTGGGTAAAGGGCAAGGCCAGAGGAGGCAGCAGGTGGTGGCCCAGGAAATGGCCAGCCCCCATGAAGTTCAACTTCTGCTCAACTGAGGAACTGGGACTGGGAAGATTTGCAAACAGAGATTGCTCTTCAGTCCAGTGCTGCCAAGACTGAAATGATTTCATAATGAGTCCCAAGAAATCGGTGGGCTCAGTCCACCTCGGGGCAGGCTCTCAACTAGTATCGGGTTTTATCATCATTAAAAAATATAGGGCCATAATCAGAAAGTTGGGAATCAGAAAGGCAGAAGTGAGAAGAGGTCACCTGCTCTCCCTTGTGGAAGCCGTTTTGATAGATCTCATTTCAGACTTTGCCGCCATCCCTCTCTCCTGCACCATCTCCTTCTCCTCCTCTTCCTTCTTCTCCTTCTTCAAGAAACAACTCACGTACCATAAAATCCACCCTTTGTAATGTGTCCAATTTAATGATTTGTATCATATTCACATGGCTACGCGACCACCACCACTACTTAGTTCCAAAACATTCCATCACTCCAAAGAGAAACCCTGTGACCCAGTGATCACTCCGCATTCTCTCTATTCCCAGCCCCTGGCAACCAGAAATCTGCTTTCCGTCTTCATGAGTTTTCCTTTTCTGTAGATGTCACACACTCGGGGTACTACTACACGTGGCTGGCTCCTTTTGCTTTGTGTAGTGTGTCCAAGTTTGGTCCGTGTCACAGTGTGTACCATCTTTATCTCCTTCTCTTTAGTGGCCAAACCTTGCTTCCCATGTCTACATCCCACTCCGGCGAGGATGAGTGAAGCTGCTGTAAATATTCATGTGCAAACTTTCATGCGGACACTTGGGTGGTTCTCTTGGTCGTACACCTGGGAACGGGACTGTGGGGTCACGAGGCAGCCTGCGGTCACCTGGAGGACTGTCACGGAGCTTCTGCCGCTCCACACCTTTCCTATGCCCATTAGCTGGGTGTGATTGCTCCCCTCCTCCGCATCCTCTCCTGTGCTCGGTATTCTCCATCTTTCCTGCTGATCTTCTAAGAGGCTCAAATATTTTGGCAACTTTGTTGAAAATCAGTCGATCACAATGAAAGGGTTTATTTTCAAATCAGGAAGTTGTGAGCCCTTCTGTTTTCTTTTCCAAGACTGATTGGCTCTTCTGGGTGGATCTTTTGATTTTTCCAGGTGAATTTTGGACTTTTTGAAAAAAATATTAAGGACAATGGGAATTTCAATAGGGATTATATTCAATCTGTTAATTTGAGGGAGTATTTCCTCTTATCTTTTTTGTACATGCATTCTTCTACTTTAAAGTGGTTTTGTTTGATCCATAAACATGGGATGCCTTTAAAAAAATTTTTTTTTAGTTATAGATGGACACAAAATCTTTATTTACTTATAGAATGTGGTTCTGAAGCTTGAACTCAGTGCCTCACATGTGCTAGCCGAGCACTCTACCACTGAGCCACAACCCCGCCCCAATGGGATGCCTTGTGAGTCTTCTAAAATTTCTTTCAACCATGATGTATAGTTCTTGGCGTGTAAGTTTTGTATTTCTTTTGTTAAACTTCTTCGTGAGCACTCTGTACTTTTTGGTGCTATTGTAAATGGAAGTGTTTTGTGAGTTTCATTTTAAGACTGTTCATTACTAATGCACAGAAATATCATCGATTTTTTTTCTGTTGACCTAGTGTCCTACAGCTTTGCTGAACTCATTTATAAATGAGTCTAACAGTTTCCTAGTGGAGACCTTTGGATGCTCTGCACACAAGATGGTGTCCTCTGTGAAGAGAAGCAGTTTTACCTCTTCCTTCCCACTCTGGATGTCTCTTATTTCATTTTCTTGCCCAGTGGCTTGATAAAACCTCCAGGAAGAAGTGGCCAGAGCAGACCTCTTTGTCTTGTTCCTGCCTGTAGGGGAAAAACAACAATGGGGTTTTCATAGATGCCCTTTATCAGATTGAGGAAGTTCC